CAAGCGGTTTTGTGTTCGCATAGTCTATTATGAATCGGTCGGCAGGTCTCCCCGACAGACCTTGCCACATGAGAACAAAACCTTGTAAGTTTGATCTAGAAAAAGGGTTTGAATATTCTCTAAACGAAGGACCAACTAAAGAAAGTGTTAATTTCTTTTTACACATTGTTTTTATTTTCCATTTCCTCAGTAATTACCCAACTTTTTCGCAAGCTGACAGGAAGGCAAAATAAGGAACCGAGTAGAATTTCCAAGTTTTCTATCCCTCACCTGATAGCATACTCCCCTAATCTTGTTAACTGCAATTGATATATAATTGTCTACTAATCCTAATGGGTAATTGCTTTGAAACAATATATCCCTCAATCCATCAATCTCTTGGTCCCAATGGTTAGCATCTGTTGGACGCAGACTCCTTAATTATCATAGGCTTCGTAACTCCTATTTTTACTCTATTTGTATGGTTCGATAAAAAATTAGTAAGTAAATTTGTGTGAGTGGGTTTCCTATATACGTCTCTACATAACTTATCATCTTTACTCTGTAATACATCCATAAAGGCAATATTTTTTCCTTATCTAACTCCTTGGTAAACTTAGTATTTGCATCTATTTTATTTATTACCTCAAAGAATTCCCCCATAGTATATTTGCCGTGTTGCCAAACAGCAGAGTAATCATCCATTTAGCGAACTAATAACTTTGGAATTAGGAGTGCCTTTTGAAACACGCGAAATATCTAATTGAGTTAAAATAGGGGGTAAACAAGATCCCATAGCCAAAGCGTAAGATTAGGAAGTGTATACAAGAGCGACTAGGGTTGCACCCGGCACCTTTCCCCTTGATTTAGTATATTTTTTTGCCTATTTCGTAAAGTTTGGAATCTTGTTTTGATGATGTCTGTCACATTGCAGAGAAAAGCTAAGCACAGTTTCATCGGGATTGCAGGACGGTGAACCGATAACTTATTCGCCCAATTCGACAGTCTTCCCTATGCCACAATCCTCCGGTTTCCGGTGAGACCATATCACGAATTCCTTCTAACCAACTTTCCCTTTTAAATGGAGAGTCAATGCACAATATTTCCATATCTTTTTATTTGTAAATACCTCAGAGGAATTGCTTACTTTAATGAATGTAATAATCGGGACATCCAACTTTGCTCTGGAAGTATTAAATTATCTTGTTACCTTTTTGGATCTCGTTATCAGTTTTTATGTGTACAAGAAAGCCACAAAAGCCATTTCACTACTTAAATTTTCTTGTAAACATACGCAACGGAATTAAATTAGATCTTGTAAGCTTGAGTATAATACCACGTTGGTATTATGGAGACGTAAATCATCGGGACGAGGTTATCAAACGGTAGGTTCTAATTTGTATCTTGCCCAGCCTACATTGATAGTAATTAATAATTGTTTTACAATATGAAATGTATTCACTTTATCTCGTTTAAGGTGATGAAGGACTAATAGTAGAATATTCCCACAATGATATGAGTAGAGCTGATGTTTCCATTGAATTTCACATTGCCTTGCTTTCCCAAAAGTAACTCACATCCAGGGTGGACTGGAGTTTCGACCTCGCATCGGTCTTATCAACACTCTCAACGGGAGTTGAACCGTGACAGTGCAGAATGGAAGCGACCACATTGCCACGAGTGCTCTTGGATCACATTGCAGATGTAAACTTCAAGGGAGGCCAGACCTTTTGCCATATCATATTCTTTGGTGGGATTGTCGGTGAAGCAAACGTATATTTGCTATAGCAATCGACTACGTTAATTATTTGTCTTATTTGAGTAGAGTTTCGGGAAAATAGTTATAAGTAAGATTAATCAAATCATTTATCTGCGGTAAGACTGGAAGATTTATTCTATTAAAGTCATTTCCCAAAAGAAATAGATGATCTACTAAGGTGGTGGTCTAAAACTTATTCCTCTAGGATGAGGACTTTTCTGTTAAGCGAAAAGCCCTTTAGCGCCTTAGCAACTGTGACAGCAGTCATTTGGATACGCTAACTTTCAAGGTCTTCTGGCTATGTATGTCATATTATTTAACTGTATACTTCCTATATTCATTAATATACTTTCTTATTCATGTACATTTGTGTATTTTCCCGCATAAAGCATACGGCTGCAATGACGGATGACACTATTCTTAATTGGTTCTTGGTTCAATCAACTATATTTGCACAAGACTGCTATCAAATCAACGGTCATCTTTGTTTTTCACTGCTTTATCTCTAATTTGTTATTATATATGTTGTTTGCTGAGTCTTGTATGTCAATCCATGCATACCCTTAACGGCAAGGGAGACGGAGTTTATCGAAGAATGTTATTTTGCTCATTTAAGGACGTCCAATTGATTTCTATAACTATTCTTGGTCTCTTATTTAATATACTAATCTACGTATTTCCTTCGCAGGTTTACAGTCCAGAACAAGGACGTTGGACTGAATTGGGAGCTCTCGATGTTATGCAGATGTTGGGACGAGCCGGTCGTCCTCAATACGATACCAAGGGTGAGGGAATTTTGATAACAAACCACACCGAATTGCAGTACTATCTTAGTCTGATGAATCAACAGTTGCCCATTGAATCGCAATTATTGTCAAGGCTGCCAGACATCTTGAATGCGGAGATTGTCCTTGGAACCGTGACCAACGTTCGCGAGGCGGTAACTTGGCTCGGCTACACTTATCTATATATCAGAATGTTGCGTAATCCATCTCTGTATGGTGTGCCAGTCGGCAGCGAATACTCAGATCCGTGGCTTGAGCAGCGTCGACGTGATCTCATTCACACGGCTGCTCTCGTCCTAGAAAAGAGTCAGTTGGTGCGCTATGATCGACGCTCTGGCAGTCTTATTTCTACCGAACTGGGTCGAATAGCCTCCCTCTATTATCTAACACATGAAACTATGTCATCCTACAACAAACTTCTTCGTGCTGGACTTGGCGAGATTGAGTTATTCCGAGTTTTCGCTGCTAGTTCGGAGTTCAGGCAGATTACCGTTAGACAAGAGGAAAAATTCGAATTGGCTAAACTGCTTGAACGCGTGCCAATACCTATTAAAGAGGCTGCTGATGAACCTGCAGCTAAAGTCAACTGTCTTTTGCAGACCTACATTTCTGGTAATCAAACTAGTCAGAATTTTTCTTTCGGGCATAACCTTAATGATAAACACGATTTTCCTCAAATGAATTTTGAAAGATCTGATACACTAAAGATTTAATTTAGGGCTCAATTAAGACCTGTGATTTCATTTATAAACGATATCTATCTATACGCATTAATAAGATAAACATTCTACGGAAAATATATTAAGTCAACATTATCAATGGTCTTTTATATTCAATATAGGTTCAATTTGGAGTTGTGCTCATTCTCTCCTTTATGGAGTTTATTGTACCCCGTATTTATAGTTCATGGTTATGTATATGAAAAAAGCATACCTTCAATTTAGTTGTCTTCTTTTCATTCTTGTCTTCATATATACCTCTTTGGCATTATCTATATGAGTAATCATCTTATCAAGAAAATTCAGTACTGATTAAATATGTGAAGAGTCCCATAATAATTTTAATCCTTATTTTAGCTGGCTCAGTCTTCTTATCTGACTGACTTTTTGAGATGTGACCTTGCATTTGACTTCAGGCAAACTA